TATTTAAATCAAACACCCCCACACATACTGAAAGTACCATTACATTCCAGAATAATCAAAATCAAAAGTGTGTTTACTCTTGGGGAAAAATAAGGGTGCTAGAATTAGAGAATTAGAGTCCTCAATTGTAGCTATTTTTTTTTTTTTCTTGAGACAGGGTCATGTATTGTAGATTGGCCTCAAATTCATTATATGCTATGACCTTGAATTTCTGGTTCTGCAGCCTCCACCTCCCACATGACAGGATTAAAGGTGTATGCTACCATGCCGAGTTTATGTAATGGTCAGGATGGAACCCAGGGCTTCATGAAGGCTAGTCAAGCAGCCTACCATCGACAGAGTGACATCATCAAGCCCTATTTTATGACCTTAAGAAAAAAGATGGCATGTTGTGTCCACCAAACTGCCTTCAGTATTTATGTTCATGCCTCTGTTTGGTGCTGCTCTCAGCTTTGCTCGGAGAAGCTTCTGTTTGCAGTGGGCAGTGAGTGATTAATGCAGAGATTCATAACTGGTCAAAATGCTGAGAAAAGGGCTGTGGAGTGCCCAACCCCAACTGCGGTATCCATGTCACTCCCTTCCAAGGCTCAAGAAACATCTTGGAAGAGGGGTCGAAAAAAAGTGCAAGAGTCAGAGGAAGGGGGACAGTGTGTACTCTTGAACGCTGAGAAGCTGTGAACACCTGCAGAAGATTAGACCCATCAACGTACTGTCAAGGAATATGGAGGGACTTGCAAAGACATCTCTCCCTGAGGAGCTACTGGAAGTTAATGGTTGCTTGGTGAGACTGGAGACATTTTCTCCAGTTGTGTAACCTTACTTGTGAGTTGCTCGTGCTTTGTAATAGCTCCTTACCCACATTCATGTAAGCACCCTAATTAAACTTACTGGGTCTCAAAAAAAAAAAAAAAAAAAGCATGACAGTAGAATGGAGAACAGTTGGGAAAGGAAGGGGATCAGCAGGAGTAGGGAGATAAGGGTGGGGGATTGTTGGGGAACCCTGCTGTTAGGGTTGCAGTTTCTCCGTGTCCGGATAGCCCTGAGGGGCTCGGCGCCAAATGGAAAAACTCCCCTTTTCAGCAGGGGGCCTCCTGCTCTCTTCCTGGTTCACCTTGAAGTGCTGCCAACCACGGATGCCTGACCTTATCTGAAAACATGGCCTTTAGCATAGTTACCTGAAGTAAAAACTACCGGCAGATTTTTTTCTATATGATAATCAGGCACTGTCTGACAGTCTGGAAGACAGAAGCCCACTGCCACATGTAAATAAAGCATACTATGAGCACCTATCAACTGAGGCTTTTGCTACTGCCTCCACACTATAAATTCTCTAGTTTTCCCACTAATAAACGGAGCTGTTTTCACTGTGTCTGTGTTCTTACTGCCTGGAGCTGTGTCATTGCTGTTTCACTGTGCCTGGGACCAGCCTGTGATCAGTTTCCCCAGAAGAGCTGTCTTCCGTCAGTGCCCACTGGCCGTTCTGACCCCGTTTGCCACTTCTGCTCTCCCTGCCCTCGTGGACCGGTGGCCAACGATCCACGAGCAAAGGGAGAGCCTCCCGCAGCTGGCCCAAGCCTCCCGCAGCTGGCCCGCCAAGCCGCCCTGCAGGGGATGGGGTAAATATGATCCAAATATATACATGTATGAAAATGTTATGAGACCCATTATTATGAGTAATTAATATATGCTAATAATATAATCATTAAAAATAAAACCCCAAAAGCAACCATACTGAGCCAAACATAGTAGCACATGCCTGTCATCTCAGCACTTGGACGGTGTAAGCAAGAGGCTCTGTAGCTCAAGGTCAGCCTCATCTTTGTAGTGAGGTGGAGACCAGCCTAGGCTACATAGGGAGTTCTAGGCCACCCAGGACTATATGAAGTGACCCCACAAAAAGAAAAAGGAAGAAAAAGAAGCAAAGGCTCATAACATCAATATAACATGGCCACCACATTTTCAGCTGTACCACTCTGCCTCTTGGGGGTCTTTAGCCAAACCCATCATCAGCAGTCACTTAGAACATAACTAAACTAAGAGAACAATCAACCACGTTCACACTGACTCTCACAGATACATAAATACATCATCACATTTCCAAACATGCTTTTAGTCCTTACCTATCATTCTGAATTTTCTTCATTGTCTCCAGGGTCATTACTGCCTGCTTCATAGGCTTTTTAAAGATAAAGTCCTGCTGACCTCCTTGTTTGACTTCTTTAGATGACAAAGGAGCAGATGTTTTCCGTGAACCTGGGACTACTGAAGGTTTTTCTTGGCTGATTTTCTAACAATAAATAATGTTAAGAGAGAGTGTTTAGCTGGATGTGGTGGCGTACACCTTAATCCTAGTACTCAGGAGGCAGAGGCAGGCAGATCTCTGTGAGTTCAAGGGCAGCTTGGTCTACATAGCGAGTTCAGGCCAGCTGGGGCTAGAGGAAGGCCCTGTCTCAAAAAGACAAAGAGAGAGAGAGAGAGAGAGAGAGAGAGAGGGGTATTTGAGGGGGGAGAATGGGGGGTTTAAAAGTGAAGAGACAACACTCTAAGAGGCTTTGTCTATTTTTCAGCCTAATTTTCTCCCATTTCCATTCCATACTCCAAGAAAATGACTTTTCTTCAGCTCCATCAAACCACATGACTTACTGTTTTTCATCTTTCTGCCTTCACACAACATTCTCTCTTGGATCCAGCCCCTACTTATCACTGGGTAAACTCTTAAGACTCAGGCCAATGGTGAAATCTGGGGTGGAGGGTAGCCCAGTAGTAGAATACATCCTTAGTATGTCCAAGGTCTTAGATTCAGTCCCCAGCAACACAGAAACTGAAAAGGGTAAGGTAGGATGGCTCATACTTTTAATCCCAACACTTTGGGAGGGGGAGGCCAGGAGGATCAGGAGTTCAAGGTCATCCCTGGCAACATAGTAAGTTTGAGACCAGCCAGGACTAGGTGAGGCCCAGTCTCAAAACAACCACCACCACCTCAGAGGCAAACAACAAAAAAATTAAACCCAAATGAACAAAAATTCATTTATTTGTGGAAAACCTTTATTGTAGGTATTTACCATATTATAATTATAAAATAGCAGTATCAGATCATGGGTTTTATGACCGAAGAGATGGTGTCTTAGAGACATCAGTTCAGTTCAGATTCATATTTTCTTGTTTCTTTTCCCTTCCTTTCCTTTCTCCCTCCCTCCCTCCCTCCCTCCGTCCCCGCCTTCCTTCCTGTACCAGCCATCAGAGGTCCTTCTGCATGTGCACGTTAGACACTGACCTATATCTCCAGGCTACTTTTTCAATTTTTTCAGTCTCAAATTCTTTTTGGATCAAAATTGGATACTACATAAATATGGTCATCTTTACAGCATCATTGTTTAGCACAATGCCTGAAATCCATTAGCGACTCAAACGCTCAATAAATATATAGATCTGAAATAGAAGCAGAGCATGGTAGCATGCATCTGTGGTCTTAGGTACTAGGGATGCTGAATGGGAAGACTCATTGGACGGGACAACATTGTGAAAAAAACTAAGCAACAAACAATTTTTTAAAACTATTAAAAAGGAGAATTATACCAAAAGGCAAAAGTTCTTATCAGATTTAATAATGTAGATCTTGAGGGTCGTGTCGAAAAAAACAAAATATTTTTCCGAACTAAATTCAAATATTGAGGAACCATAGGCCTTGCATGTGTCTTCTAACTGACAGTTCTTATTTTATCTATGGCAAACACCTGTGCTGTTGACGGTGATCATGGACAGTGAAGCCAGGCTTCCATATCTGAATCCTGTCTCTGTCTCTTACTAAACCATATTGACCATAGGTAACTATTTACCACTTCTGTGCCTTCATTTTCTCATTATCACTATCTCTGTCTTTATGCTTGGACATCTGCAGAAGGAATCAAATATGCACCACAGCCTGTTACTATTTACTACAAATAAATATGAATTCTTAGAAGAGAACTTTAGGAAACTAGCCAACTGTTCTAGTCCAGTCACTAAAAATGTTTTTATATAGCCCACACTACATGTAAAGTCAAGTATTAGACCCCAAGGGAAAAGATAAGAAAAACAGTATTTTCTGCAAGGCAGCTGTTTCCAAATTTTAGTTAAATCATTCTGACTTCTGGTAAAACTGGATACATTAATATATTTCATATTCTATTTCATAATACTAATAAATTAAAATTTATCTTGAGATGGCCTTAACTGGAAAAGTGGCTATAAGAAACGTTAGGGGCTGGTGAGATGGCTCGGTGGGTAAATGTGCTTGCCACCAAAACTGACAACTGGAGTTTGATCCCTGGGACCTATAAGCTAGAAGGAGAGCAACAACTCCTGCCAGTTGTCATCTGACTTCCACACACACACACACACACACACACACACACACACACCACAGCATGTGTGCACACACTAATGCAATAAAAATAAAAATAAATAAATTTGTTATTTTTGTGAGGCAGGGTCTCCCTGTAGCCCCAGCTGACCTGGAACTCACTGTGTAGACCAGGCTGGCCTTGAACTCACATCACAGAGTGAGTTAATCAAAGGTGCCTGCCTCTGATTAAAGGCATGCACCACTGCACTGGGAGGGATAAATGTAAAATTTAAAAGTTCAAGATAACGCTAGATCATTATGTTAAATGAAATCAGCCAGACTAAGACAAATCCCACATGTGTTCTCTCAGGGGTGAAATCTGCATGTAACATGTACACATAAACATTAAAGTAGAAGGAACTATGTGGGAGGAGAAGGGACTCTAAAGGGAGCGGGAGGCGGAACAAGAAAGGGTAAGCATGGGAAAGAAAGGGAAGCATCTCTCTCATATGGAAACCAGATTAAAGTCTCACATGACAGGAAAGGTGACCTGGGGAAGGAAAGGGACAAAGGGAAGGAAAAGAGAAAGGGTCTAAAGGGGCAAACTGTGAGCAAAGTCCAATGATAGAAATATATAAAAATGAGAGAGAGACAGACAGAGAGACACAGAGAGAGACAGAGAGAGAGACAGAAAGAGACAGAGAGACAGAGAGACAGAGAGAGACACAGAGAGTGAGAGAGACAGAGAGACAGAGAGACAGAGAGAAAGAGAGACAGAGACAGAGAGACAGAGAGAGAGAGAGAGAGAGAGAGAGAGAGAGAGTGGAGTCTCAATGTCCCCTTCAAGAACCTGTCCCCAATGGCCAACTTCCTCCCACTAGGCTCCATCCCTAAAGTTTCCGTCGTCTCCCAGTAGTATCACAGATAGGGGATCAATTGAGACAGGGAGAGACAGAGAGACAGAAAAAGAGAGAGACAGAGAGGCAGAAAGACAGAGAGACAGAGAGAGACAGAGAGACAGAGACAGAGACAGAGAGACAGGATTCCGCGTGTCCAAGCAGCTGAAGGACAGCAGAGAAGCATTAAAGAGAGAGGGATTTAGAGGGAAGGTCAAGGATACTTCCAGTGACTAAAACTCTGTTGGGGCTTGGAGAGATAGCTCAGCAGTTAAGAGTTCTTGCTGTTCTTGCAGAGGACCTGGGTTTATTTCCCAGCACCCACATGGCAACTAACAACCATCTGAAACTCCAGTTCCAGGGGATCCAACCCCTTCTTCTGGCTTCTGTGGGCACTGCACACATGGTACACCTATACATATGCAGACAAAACACTCACATAAAATTAAAAACAAAAGAATTGTAAGCCTTGTAGGGCAATGGCATATTAGAATTTGTGTGTTAGAACAATTTTCATACAAAGTAAAACATCAAAAATTTTAAGATATTCAAACTTTTTATTTCCTTATTCTTGATTTCTTTGACAGGGTCTCACTGTGTAGCCCTGGCTGGCCTGAAGCTTACAGTGATCCCTCTGCCTCTGCCTTGCTAGTCCCTGAGATTACAAGCATGCATCACCAAGGCATGGTTCACATTCAAAATTTTCTTTTTTTTTTTTGGTCTTTTTGAGGCAGGGTCTCCCTGTAGTCCCAGCTGTCCTGGAACTCACTATGTAGACCAGGCTGGCCTTGAACTCATAGAGGTCCACCTGCCTCTACCTCGGAGTGCTGGGATTAAAGGCATGTGCCACCACACCCAGCTCTGATTCACAATTTTTTTTTTTTTGTCTTTTTGAGGCAGGGTCTCCCTGTAGCCCCAGCTGTCCTGGAACTCACTATGTAGACCAGGCTGGCCTTGAACTCACAGAGATCCGCCTGCCTCTGCCTCCCAAGTGCTGGGACTACAGGCGTGTGCCATCACGCCTGGCCACAATTTTTTAAAATACATGGAACTGGGGGCTGGAGAGATGACTCAGTGGTTAAGAGCGCTGGCTGCTCTTGCAGAGGACCCAGTTTCAATTCCCAGCACCCACATGGCTGCCAACAACCCAGTTCCAGGGGATCCGACACCCTTTCCTGGCCTCCACAGGCACTGCATGGCATGGGTACACTTAACATACATGTAGGCAAAACACTTATACACATAAAATAAAAAAATAAAATAAAATATATGAAACTGCTACATACAGTGGCTGAAGGCTATAATACCAGACCTTGGGAGATAGAGGCAAAAGGATCAGGAGTTCAAAATCATCCTCTGTTACATAGTAAGTTTCATGCTAGCCTGGGTTACATTGTTTCAAACAAATATAAAGAGTATAGAACAGGCTGGGCATACTGGTACAGGCCTTTAATCCCAGCATCCAGGAGGCAGAGGCAGGTAGATCTCTGTGAGTTTGAGGCTAGCCTGGTCTACATAGCAAGTTCCTGGCCAGCTGGGACTACAGTGAGACCCTGTCTCAAACACACACACACACACACACACACACACACACACACACACACACACACAAAGTATAGAACAAATTTACATTGAGAATGAGGCTTAAGCTGCTATGAATGAATACAACAGTGCAAATTTTATTATTATACTACTATAAAATCATGAGAAGGAGAGGTTAGAGAGACTGTTCAGTGGTTAAGGGCATGTATTGCTCTTGCAAAAGATCCAAGTTCAATTTCTAGCACCTGTGTCAGGCAGCTCACAACATCCAGCTCCAGGAGGATTGGATACCTCAGGCCTCATGGGTACCTACACTCATACACAAATAATACCATACACAGAAACACACACACATATACATAACTAAAAATAATAACTCTTAGCTGGGTGTGGTACACAGCTTTAATCCCAGCACTTGAGAGTGAGTTTGAGGCCAGCCAAGACTATATAGTGAGACCTTTTCTCACAATAACAGTGATAATAATAACACTTTTTAGTCTTTTTGAGGCAGGTCTTCCTGTAGCCCCAGCTGTCCTGGAACTCACTATGTAGACCAGGCTGGCTTCCTGGAACTCACTATGTAGACCAGGCTGGCTTTGAACTCACAGAGATTTGCCTGCCTCTGCCTCCCGAGCTTCTTGAGGCTGTTTTGTTACTGTTACTTTGTTAGTGGTCTTCTGTAAAAAATTCTCAGAAAACTCCACATACCATTAACTTTGTTCTAGAAAATTAATTTTTATTTTTTATGTATTAGTGTTTTGCCTGCATGTATGTGCACAACATGTGTACTTGGTACCTAGAGAGGGCATCAGATCTCCTGGAACTAGAGTTAAGGATGGTTGTTAACCACTGTGCAGGTGCTGGGAACTGTGCCTGA